ATATGCGTTTTTGCTGCCTGTTGCAGCGCTCTAGCGCTGCACGGCAAAAACGCATAAAAATGAAATCACTGAACAACGGAAGTATACGACATAGAATACCTGAAACCTAAATATGAACTGCTTAAATAGCCAACCTGGAAACTACTACGGTCAGTTAGGATACCCCAGCCAATCCTGGCCAACGCATTGAAAACCGAAGCGATGCTGAATGCATAGGCCATAAACATATCGTCATCAATAAAAGTTTCTCCAAATGTCTACAATCGGCAAAATGAACAACTTAATACGACGATGTCAACATGGTCAGGCTTTCCTGCTATAAACAATTTGTGTACAGCATGTGCCATTATATGCAAAATGCGTTTGTGCTGCGCCTCGTAATCTTTTGATTTCTACATTGTTCGGTGACACCACGGATTCGAATTCGCGGCTCACTTCTGGAGACATGTTATCAGCTTGGATGTTAAAATAAGATCATAGTCAATAAACTTGTGTCAGCTGGTGAATAACAGTTTAGAAATTACAAACAAATGGCTGTCTTCTTTTGAAATTAAAACACAAATGCAAATTTTGACCAGAGATTATAAATCAGGATATGAAACAGCCTCAGACTGGAACTAGACCACAGAGAGCTTCTGGCCTCATAGCGATCAGCGGCTACGCTTGCAAAATTTCGTCTTCAGCTTGCGCGGTCCAGGAATTCAGCCCCAGCGCAGCGCCCTTCCTCGGATGTTATTCAGTTATCGCCTTTGTCACGCACCATCCGGACGACGACACTCGATCAGCAGTGAGAAAGGTACCGCTGGTACTGCTAGGCGTCGATCCGCTCTTTCCTGCCAGCACGGTGCTCGGCGACGAAGTGATAAACTTTATTTCACAAGACGAGCAGAGTTGACATGGGCATTTTGACGATGGCGCAGAACCACACAATACACAACATTAGCACTAACTTTGCAACACAAAACAAATCATGTATATTGGCGTCCAAGGCCCAAATTCACAAGTGATAGAAGTATACATAAAATACAAAAAACAAACGGGCATGGGCTTGATGGTAGGAAGGGACGGCCAGCCTTCTCGAATTTGCCTCATCCGCTTACCTGCTTATTTCTTGATTTATTTCGTGAGGTCGCCAATCTTCCGTCCAACACACCACAGCTCGACTGAGCTCGGTCTTCGAGATTTCCGTTGCATTCCGCTTTGCTTTTACAGCGTCGCCGGTAGTTCACTCTGCACGTTAATCGGAACACGGTAACAGTGTTGAATTGCCCTGCAGAATTTTTTGGCGCCTATCGACCTTTGCTATTGCATTACTTCCCTACCCAGCACGCCGACTTCTCTATCGCATAGGCAGGGATCACGCTATGCTTTCACAGGACAGCAAGATGGAGATGAAGAACTGAACCTGGCCAACGAAATGGGGAATTCGGCCTATCGGGAACAGGAGAAGTACTACGACGGTGAAAGACAGTGGACGACGGCTGGTGCCAACAGGTTTCGAAAGACAATCCAGCACTGCTTCCAAATTCCAATCAATGCGAAGACAGAACTACCAACGACATTGCACAAGCCAGAGGGAGGAAAGCAACCGGAGGCTCGAGGATCGATCTCAGTCGAGCAGATGTGCATGTTAGAAGGATTACTGAGGCAGCGAACGAAAATAAGTCGTGAAGCAAACGAGGAAGCACGCGAGGGAACATTCGAGAAGGCTGACCACCCCGCCTGCTACCTCGCGCCCATACCAATTGTTTTGTGTGCAAATTTCTTGCCTGTAATTGCTCGCCTTGGCCTTCTATGTGGTTTGTTTTGCCACTGCTGTGTTTGTTTCAGTGTATGTGTTCCATGCAGCCAGGATGCCACCGTCATCTTTCAACATTTGGTGCTGCTGTATTTCGTAGTAAAATAAAGTTTCTTGTTACATCAACGAGCACTGTATTGCCAAGAAATAGCGGATCAACATCCAGCAGTTCCCAGCACCGCAACCTTACTCGCTGCCGACCCGGTCTTATCATCCGAAATTCGTTGCGCGGTCGACTGAGGTGCGGCATAGAGGTGGTAATCAAAAAACGTTCCGAGCAGTGGTGTATACTTACACACATATGCACACACACAAACGCACACCTACAAAAAAAAAGAAACATACACGTGCAAACACAAACACCCACACACAAGCATACACACAAAACTATTTTACAAGGTGTTCATAACAGACTCTTAAGAGTGTTGTTTTTTCCCAGTTTCTTTCTTTTCGACCGCATCATACAAAATCTTTTTAAGACAGTTTTTCCGTTAAAAAAATTTCAACTATTCCAATGGCCAATGAAGCATTGCTGATCTAGAATGAAGAGCTAAAAGACAATTCACATAATGTGAAAAGAAAAAGTTTTAGCAGGAAAGAAATGCTTGACGGCTAACAACATATCGTAAAATATTTGATTCTAATTATAAAATAATATGATATTTTTTTTTCACTTTTTTTAAACCTATGACTCAGGAATGGATACTGTCGCATTCCTGCGTGTTTACAATTTTCGCCCACTTTTGTTCTACCCTTTTTTTTACCTAAAAAAATCTTTTCGTTCTCCATTATCTTCTTCCTTATCTTTTTTTGGCCCTCTACCCCCATCCCCTTTTCCTTTATCACCTCCCTTTATCTCCCTTTTCCCTAAATTCCCAAAATTTCCTCCGAATCACTATACCATTAAGCGCAGCGGGCCCCAAACTCCCTTTATAAACCATCCTTACTTTTTCTTGGGCCCTCAAATTCTTCAGTCGGTCTCAGCTTCTTCAGCCAGCCTCAGCTTCATCAACCCCGTTCTCCAGCGACGTCTCCCGCCGACCCAACCTACAATCACGACTGGAACTCGGACCACTTCGTCTCTAAGCGAAGATTGTTCGACCTCTCAAAAACCCCACTGCTGAATCCCCTGCCCAGCAGGCCATCCCGACCGTCAGAGCCCAAGCGTCACGCTCTGTTTTATTATTACCTTTGCCTGTGTCGTAACAAGTAAGACATAAAAGTCTTCATTTCTCCAACTGAACCTTAGTCTATATAATGCATCACCATGAAATCTTTCACAGTAATGCGATTGCAAAAACACGGCAGAAAAAATTATGGGGTGCTGACTACTGCTAAACATTAAAGTGGCAACAAATGTGCAAAGTAGGATATAATGTTTTGGGAATTACAAATGTCAGGCTTCAAAGAAACATGCTTTTCAGCTTCAGCTCGGACTGGATTAGCTTTTGGAAAAAAAGGGAATACAGGCAAATGTTTGGACAACAGGCAGATAAAAAACAGCCCCATAATATAACCATCTTTTCAAAAAAAAAAAAAAGAACATAAAAAGCAACCTTGTAAAGATTGTAAAACATATTTCCATAAAAAGAGCAACAGAAGAGAGCGCAAAAAAGCCAATAAAAAGTAGAATTTTGGAGCATTTCGGATGGAGTCATTGACAAATGTTGCTCAGTAGCTGGGCAGTTCGCATCTTCCATTGACTTCCCATCATTTTTGCTTCTCTGAAATATGTCTTGATGGCTGCCGCTCCAACAACATTGTGGAATACAAAATGCAATTGACTAATCAGTAAGGTATGGCGGGGTCAAAAAAAACACCCGCCAGAATCGGCGTCTTCCTCCTACGGCTAGATTTTAATAAAACACCCGAAATTATTTAAGTCTACCCTCCCGTCATAACTAGCAATGACGATCAGGTGGAAAAATTTTATAATTATTTCGAATTTACATTAATCGCCCAATCTAAACATATGATCGTTATGGGGGACTTCTACGCAAAGCTTGCAAGAAGACAGGATGAAGGGGAGTAAGATGGCAGGTACGGCATTCACAAGAGGCACGACAGAGGCAGTCGGTAATAGACTGGCAAGGGTAGTAAGGGCGGGCAAACTGTCTTAGTTTCGAAAATACGCAAGACGGAGATGGTCTTAACTTATATCAAATGTAAAAATTGGCTAACGCACGGGCTGCCCGTGCGAGGATGCGTTTTTTGCACAGTTCTTCGCTAGTTTTTGTTGCTAACAGCACCGGTTTTTTCGGCAAATGCTTCTAGCTAAATAAATTAAGAACTGTCAGAAAACATCCCCTTAAAATTTCAACTTTCTAGCTTCCCTGGCACCTGAGTTAGCAGCTTAATGGAACAAAATTTTCACGGGCTCATGCATGTTTGCCAAGCATAAGCTGAATGAAGTTAGGTGGACGGGGTAATATCCTCTTAAAACTGCATTCCTTTAGTTTCTCAGGTACTTGAGTTATCAATTTACACGAAAAAAATTTTGGCGGGCCCGTATGTGGGTACCACGCCTACCTGGGGGCTGGGTTTGAGCCCACTAATACCCACTTGGGCAGGGAACTCTACCCCAAGATTTCAGCCTTCTAACTTCTTAGGTCCCCGAGTTATGAATTTGCGCGGGAAAAATTTTGAAGGGCCTGTACGCGGGTACCACGCTTACCCGGGGGCTGGATTTGAGCTCATTAGCACTTGCTTGGACGGGGAACATTCCCCTAAAATTTCAGCTTTCTAGCATCTCAGAACCCCAAGTTTTGAGTTTACGCGAGAAAAATTTTGGGGGGGGAGGGGGTTGGGGTGCCGTACGCGGGTACCACGCTTACCTGGGGGCAGGGTTTGAACTCGTTAATACCCACTTAGACAGGGAGCACACCCTAAGATTTCAGCTGTCTGCACAAAACACTACGGTATTTAAGGTATCCCTCTCCCAGAGCAATCGCAAAAGGCGCCCCTTTACCCGAACATCTGCAAATGCCAAGCACAAACGAGAGCCGAAAGAACGCTGACCGCCCTCCCCCCACTCCCCAACACCGAGCGTCCCAACATCGGGCACTCTCCAACCCGGCCGCCCCCCAAACACCGGCCACCTCCCCAACGCCGACCACCTCCCCACACTCCCCGTCCTCCCCCCTCACCCCGAACACCGCCCATGTCCTACCACCACGGACGACCACCCAACCCCCAACCACAAACAACCCCG